CAGAAATTTCCGAGGCCTCAACACTGAATTCCATAACTTCAGAAACTGACCACATTATGTCTGTTCTCCATTTTTCTTACGGTGTCTAACATACACTGCCCTACAGCCTTTAATTGTTTGTGTCTTGTTTACTTTCCTCCCATTCTCCCATTCTCTCCCTTTCACAATTTACGTTACATCCATTTTAATTAGCCAGCATTAACAACTTACTCCTCCTCTGCATCAGACAAAAACATTCCAACATCTTTCAGTTTTGAAGAACTCATGCCAAATTTGATCCATTAATTCTGTTTCTCTCTCTACAAATGCTGCCAGACCTGCTGAGTTTCTCCAGCATTCTCTGTGCTTGTTAACTTTCTACCGAGCTCCCCAAATTCTGTTTACAGGAATGCATCCCCTTTCCTATGTCAGGCATCAATTCCAACTATCTCTGGCTGTTCAGTCACTCCCAGAATAAAGTCCTGTAATCGCTCGGTATTATCCTTTACTCTGGCACCAGCTTGGTGACGCATCCTGGAGTCATGTCTGCAACCAGAGAAATGCTAGTCTGTTCCTCTAAATAATGAATCACCAATCACTATCGTTCCTGATATTCCCTCCCTCCCCTCCTGTACAGTCAGGCCGCTTGTGGTGCCGGAAGCCTCTATCTGCGTTCCTTCAGGAAACAGTGCCCTCCTCAGCTTCCAGAAGAGAAAACCGATTTGTGAGTCGGACCCCAGGGGAATCCTCCACAATCTTGCTGTTTCTCCTAGACTGTCTGACAATTGCCATTCCCTTCCTGCCACCAAGCCCTTAAGCTATTGTGTGACTACCCCTCTGAACATGCTACCTATGTGACCGACTCCTATTCCTGTCTGCAACCTCACAACAAATCAGCTCTCCCTTGTTAATTCTGTTCTGACAGGGCACCATTCCCTCTGAGAAATGTCCACAGGATAATAATCAGCTCCGACACACACACACACATAGAACCCAACAGCAGGAAATCAGTAACAATCCTCAGACACCCTGCATCTCCAAGGTAATTACTCAAGAATTGACTCCAGGGTGACCATCTGTGAGGACACAAAAATAAGGAAGATTCTGACTCTGAGATTCAAAGGTGCAGTGATGCTGTGAATAGAGTGGGTGGTAGTGGTGAAGGAGGTAGGTTGAGCAGGTAAAAGTGGGAGAGCTGTGCAGGGGACTGCAGAGGCAAAGGTTGTGTGACAGTAGGAGGAACCACCCAATGTCCAGCCTAGTTTCTGATGTAGGGTCATCTCAAGTGTAACGTGAACTGTGTTTCTCTCCACATATGCTGCCAGACCTGCTGAGAATATCCAGATTTTTTTGATTTTATTTGTCTTTAAAGCACAGAAGTACACCATTCGGACCAGCTGTTTTCACCTGTTACTTCTGCTAGTGACATGAGCTTTCACTCTTTCAGCAGATCCTTCTATTCCTTTCTCACTCATGGACTTACCAAGCTTCCCAACAAATGCACCTAAGCCATTTCCTCAAGCATTCCCTGGAGGAGCAAGTTCAACATTCTCATCATTCTCTTGGTGGAGACATTTCTCCTGAATTCCTCATTGGATTTACTATTGACCATCTTATATTGATGGCCCCTAGTTTTAGACTCTCCACACAAGAAAAAGAATCTTCCTTCCATTTACCCTTAAGTTCTTAACTTGAAAGATTGGGAAAGTTACTATTATGTCAGCCCTCAGCCTTTTCTTTTTTCAGGAATACAATGATGGCCTGTTCAGTCACTCTGAAAGTTACAATCTCTCAATTCTCAATCTCACCCTTATCAATGGTTTTTACACCTTGTCCAGTTCCTTGATGTCCTTTTTCATATGGAGATCAGTACTGTGCACAGCACTTGAGTAAGATCTGTGTAAGGTTCCAGACAAGTTCATAAGAATATCTCTGCTCTTCAATTCTATTCCTTGATATTAGGGCACAGTGTTTGTAAAGGAAAGTGGTTTTGATTCCCTGCTGACATATTTTATTATCTTGTATGACGTAGAAACTCAGTGATGAAAAGTCTTAATTTGTCTGCAGTAGGAGGTTGTTGAGAAAATCTTTTGGTTGCCATCTCTTTAATTGCCAAGGTTGCACCATAGTTTAAAGAAAAACACATGGGAGTGAACTGAGGTTGTAGTTGGAACACATTTTACACGTTTGGATTTTATTGAGCTGAGCTTTTTATTCTGTCTGATTCAGAGTCTAAAGTTCAACAGTTCAGGATTTCCTCTTCACTTTCGCTGAATGGATATTGTGCGAGTTAGTTACAGAAATGCAAAGACTGACAGGACTTTCAATTGACAGAGGTAGATGTGGAAAGGTTGTTTCCCCTTGTGGGACAGTCTAAGATCAGAGGGCATAATCTCAGAGTAAGGAGCTGCCCATTTAAGACAGAGATGAGAAGGAATTTCTTCTCTCAGAGGGTGGTTAATTTGTGGAATTTTTTAACTCCAAGGGCTATTAAGTACCTTCAAGGCTGACATATCAGTAAGGTAATCAGGTGTTATGGGAACAGACAGGACAGTGGAGTTGAGAATCAGATCAGTCATCATCTCATTGAAGGGTGAGGTGGTTCGATGGACTGGTTGACCCATTTCTGCACTTACCTTTTATGAATTTATAGGTTTAGATCATGGTTTGTTCTCGGGATAGGTTACAACATCTGCAGGACCGGAACATAAATTAATTGCATTGGATTTTGAGGCCTTGCAATAAATATCAGACTTTCAACATTCACAGTATTTTGTCATTGGATTACAAGAACTGGGTGTGTGTACTCAAGAATAATATTAGACTATGGGGTGATTTCAGAATAATAGGTTTGTTATGCTACAGTTGTGTAAGGTATTGGTGAGACCAAACTTGGAGGATGGCGTGCAGTTTTGGTCTCCTTACTTAAGAAAGACCATAATTACATCAGAAGCAGTTCAAAAAAGGTTTACTTGACTGATTCTTGTGGCTGATACCTGATGAGGAAAGATTGGACAGGCTGGGCACATATCCGTAGGAAGTTTAGCAGACTGAGAGGTGGTCTTATTAAAATATATAGGACCCTGAGGGGACTGGACAAGATGGTCCTGAAAGTATGTTTTTCTTTGTGGGAGACACTTGAACTAGGGGATACCATTTTAAAACAAGCGGATTCTCTTTTAAATCAGTGAATGAATGCTGAAGGTCAATTAACTCTTCCCCAGGGAGCAGTGGAGGCAGGATCACTGGATATTTTGAAAGCAGGCGTTGATAAATTCTTAACTAACAATGGAGTCAAAGGTAATTGGGGAAGGCAGGCATATGGAGTTGAGGCCAAAATCAGATCAACCATGTTCTCATTGAAAAGATGGCTTAAGGGGCCAAATGGCCTTCTACTGCTCTCAATTCATATGGTCAGATGTAGTCAGTAGGATTGATCTTTAATAGTCACCAGGGATGATCTATTGCGGTGAAACCCTCGTGCTGTCGTTTGTATAAGGCTGAACTGACATGGCTGATCTAGACATAGAATCATAGAGTCATAGATTAGTACAGCACTGAAACAGGCCCTTCAGCCCAAACTGGTCCATGCTGACCATGGTGCCGACATTTGGTCCATATCCGTCTAAACCCTTCCCATCCATGTACCTATCCAATTTTTTTTTTTCAAAATGTTGCTATTGAACCTGCCCCAACCACTTTCTCTGGCAGCCCATTTCATATACGCACCATTCCCTGCGTGAAGATGTTGCCCCTCAGGTCCTTCTTAAATCTTTCTCCTCTCAACTTAAACCTATGCCCTCTGGTTTTCACTTCCCCAGCCCTGGGAAATAGACTATATGCATTCATCCTATCTATGCCCCTCATGATTTTATACACCCCTTATTCTACTATGTTCCAAGGAATAAAGTCCTATCCTGGCCAACCTCTTCCTATAACTCAGGCCTACTAGTCCTGGCAACATCCTTGTAAATATTCTTTGCACACTTTCCAATTTAACTATGTCTTTCCTATAACAGGGTGACCAAAACTATACACAATACTCCAAGTGCAGACTCGCCAATGACATATACAACTGTAACATAACATCCCGACTCCTACACTCAATACCTCGACCACTGAAGGCCAGCACGCTAAATGCCTTCTTCATCACCCTGTCCACCTGTGATGCTGCTTTCAATGAACTATGTGCTTGTACTCATAGGTCCCTCTGTTCCACAACACTCCTCAGGACCTTACCATTTACTGTATTAGTCCTACCCTGGTGTTACTTTCCAAAATGCCACACCTCACACTTATCTGTATTGAATTGCATTTGCTAACCTTCATCCCATTTCCCCCTCTGATCAAGATCCCTCTGTAATTTTTGATAATCTTCTTTGCTATCAACGAATCCTCATAATTTTGTATCATCTGCAAACTTACCAATCACGCCGTGAACGTTCACATCCACATCATTTACGTAAATAACAAAAACAAAGGTCTAGTGTTGGATCTCGTTGTCAATGGCGGCCTCTTTAGAGAGGTGTCTATTGAGGAAGTGCTCAACATTTCCAGAGTCTCTAATTTAACATATATGGGAGGAGAATACTTGGACGACCACATGTTAATGTGTAAATTTTCTTTTGACATTATTCAAAACATAAGAATTGAAGAGACTGAGAGAGGACGCAAATCTTGCAGTGTGAACAATGACAGTGCAGTCATTTGCAAACTGTAGATCATGAGAATCCATGGTGATCAGTTTAGTTTTGACAACATTATGACGGCTTTATTACTGAATTCACACTGTTAGGGTTCTTTCCCTTGATGTACCAGGAAATAAACTCTGTGAAAGGCTTGTCACACACCTCACTCCTGAATGCTTGGTCATCAGTGTGAATCCATTGTTGCTTCAGGAAATCAGATGAGTGGGTGAAGCCCAGCCACAAATGTTGCCCCAGAAGAGTTTCTCTCTGGTGTCTCAGGAGAGTCCAAGAACGAACAGAGCTCAATTGTAAATCCTACAGTTGAAGGGTTACTCCCCTGCATGGATTGTCTGATGCTGCAGGATGCTTTGTAACTGTGTGAAGGCTTTCTCACAAACATCCCCAGTGAAGCGCTTCTCCCTTGTATGAATACATTGGTGTACACGGAGACTCATTAAGTGAGAGAATGATTTGTCGCACATCTCACACCTGAAAGGTCTCTCCCCTGTGTGACTGCGGATATGTACCCGGAGGCTCGAAGAGTAGGGGAAGGATTTGTGGCACAGCTCACATGTGAATGGCTTCTCCCCTGTGTGAATGCGTTGGTGTGTGTGCAGACTCGATGATTGTGAGAATGATTTCTTGCACACCTCGCACTTGAAGGGTTTCTCCCCTGTGTGAATCCTCTGGTGAATCAGCAGTTCAGAAGATTCAATGAAAGACATCTCACAGACCTCACACTTGAAGGGTTTCTCCCCTGTGTGAATACTCTGGTGCATCAGAAGCCTGGTCGATGTGGCATAAGCTTTATCACAGACCTCACATTTGAAGGGTTTCTCCCCCGTATGGACTGCCTGATGGACCTGGAGGCTGGATAACTGTGAGAATGATTTGTCACACACCTCACATGTGAATGGTTTCTCCCCTGTGTGGATACGTTGGTGCACACGAAAGTTCGATGAGTCAGAGAACGATTTCTCACACACCTCGCATGTGAATGGTTTCTCCCCTGTGTGAATGCGTTGGTGTCTGTGGAGATTCATTGACCTTGAGAATGATTTATGGCACACCTCACACGTAAACAATTCCTCCCCCTTGTGAATACACTGGTGTTTGAGGAGGGTCTGTGACTGCGAGAATGATTTGTGGCACATCTTGCACTTAAAAGGCTTCTCCCCAGTGGGAACTTGGTGATGTCCAATGAGTATTAATGACTGTTTGAAGAGTTCTCATTGATGCTGGGAAATTAGATTCACTGCACTCACTCAGACTGCACATCCCAATCCAAGCCCAGGCCTTAAAGAACGAATGAGGCCTTCACGTAATATCTTTAAAAAAGGCAATAAAAGATATTGTAATAAATATGATTCCAGATATAGCAATTGCTATGGGACTGGGTCAACAATCGAGAGATTAAGAGTTCAAATCCAGCCATAGCAAAGTTACACATATAGAATTACAGTCAGAAACAAGCCATTCGGCCCAATTAATCCATGCTGGTGTTTTCCACCCCTCTTTATTTCACCCTATCAGCAGATCTTTCTGTTCCTTTCACCATCATGTGCATATCTAGTTTCCCCTCAAATGCATTTATGCTATTGTGATAAAGACATATAATACATTATGTGTTCTCCTGGGATAATTGAAGATGGTGGAATTTAAAATCAGAAGGAGAAAATTAAATTTAAGAGTCTAATAATGACCATTAAACCATTATCAATTATTGGGGAAATCCCATCTGCTTCATTGATGTCCTTTAGGGAAGGAAACTACTGTCCTTACCTGGTCTGGCCTGCATGTGTCTTCAGAGCCACAGCAATGTGATTGACTCTTAACTGCCCTCTGGACAATTAGGGATAAACAATAAATGCTGCCTGATCAGCAACACCCACATCCCATGATTGAATTTTTAAAAAATCATCACTTGAGTATTTAGATTTTTCAGAAAAGGTAAATGTTTTTTTGCTTGCAGTTCTGTGAAGGTAGCTTTTTTTTCTGAAAAAGTCAGAAGGTCATTTGTAATGTTGAATAAAATGCATAATTTTCAAGAAAACATGTGACTGCAATTAAATGCCTCAAGATGATTCCATTGGTGTTAATGAATCAAATGTTCTACAGGAGGAATATTTACAACCACAGAAAGACAGATGGTTAGAGGCCAAAATCACTTCAGAAGAACAATTTCATCCAATCAGAAGGGTAGTTTGTTAATTTTGTTGAAGTATCCAAGCTGAAAGAGTTTTATTTTGTCAACCCTCCATATTGCAACAGTTCGCAAAAGCCTCCTGGCCAACAGAACAGAAAATGAATCCAGCCTTTAGAACTGGAAAAATGTCCTCAGGCCGCCAAAACCGTTTGACTTAAGACAAGAATGATTCTCCACAGGGATTATGTATCTGTAAAGAATACTGCAGAGGAAAGGGTTGAATCTTTGATTTGCTATTTATGCTAAGATTTTTCAAAATGATTTTATCAATATCTTTGTTGTGTCATAAACATATGATCTTTTATTAAAAGAACACTGGCAGTATCATGTAAATACGTTCAGCGAATGACCACTGTGGTAACCAAAAAATTAAATGTGTGATCTATCAAACCAGGTAAAGTGATAGCATAATGCTAATGGCACTGGGAGAACAATCCACAGGCCATGGCTAATGTTCTGGGGACATAGGTTTGAAACCCATATGGTAGATGGTGAAATTTCAATTCAGTGACATTCAGGAATTAAATCCTTGCCCAATGGCAAATGATCACTAGTCATTTGTTGTAAAAAGCCATCTAGCTCACCAGTCTCCTTCGAGGAAGAAAATCGACCATCCTTACCTGGTTTGGCCAACATATGATTCCAGACCCACAGAACTGTGTTTGACTCTGGACTGCCCTGTGGGTACTTAGGGATGGGCAATAAATGCTGGCCTAGCTAGCAACACCCAGATCCCATGAATAAATTTTAATAAAAAATTTTCACTCTGGGAACTCACTGGTCCAATATTACCATCTGTGAGGATCATCATAATTTTCACCTCGACAACTCCAAATGGTGAATGTAATAAACTTTGGAATTTGTGGGAGAAAGCTGGAAAACATTCAGGTTGCCCTGAAATCCAAATATTGTCCTTCTGTGAACTTGCTACAACTGCCTGGTCTGGTCTACATGTGACTCCATCCCACAATATGGTTGTCTGAAAATTGCCCTCTGAAGTGGCCAAACAAACAATGATAAACAATCACTACAAAGTCTAGTAATGAGGAAAATCAGGGAGATTGGGATAATCCTGACACTGAGTCAGAACAAGACAAACGTGATCTAAGCCCAGTGAAAACTGTAAAGTCTCTCTTATCAAGGTCTAAGGACATGTCCCCAAGTGAGGAGAGCTGCTCCACAGACTGGTCAAATGATACTCACTGAATCGTGTCAATCTGGGAACAACCCAGGCTCCTCCATCACCATCCCAGGGAATATCCCATCCCATTGGCAGGTGGGTAAGACGTCCATATTGACACCATGGAGTCTCATGGCTTCATGTCAAACAAGTTCAAGGAAAACTACCATTCCCCTCCCAACTGATGAATGAGTCCTTCACCACGTTCATCATCACAAGGGAAGTAGATTAAGGACAGATCCCCAAACTGGGTGTCCATGAGATGCAGAGAGCCAGAAGCAGCAACAGGATTGTATTCCATCACAATCTTACAGTGGGGCGCAGCTTTCGTTCCATGATTATCAACAAACCAGTAGATAGGCAGGCCAGAAGCAGCATCAGTGATACTTTAGAGCCCAGGTTTGAACCTAGTGAATGTACAACAGAGGGGTACATCCAAGTTAAACACCAAGAATAACAGGTAATAAACAGAGTTTAACAGCGTCACAACCAACTGATTAGTACAAAGCTCTGTAGTCCTACCACACCTCATTGAGAATTGTGGACAACCATTCAAGTAACAGGAGAAGGCAGCTCCATGAACACCCAGCTTGTGACGGAGAGATACAATATTAAAGTGTCTTCAGGAAAAGTATCGAGTGGATGATCAAACCCACCCCTTCCTGAGGAGCTGGGAGAATTCCCCTCCAGAACACACCGATTTCCTCCCCACCTCCACAGTCAAGGAGGCTCAGCTCAGATTGTTATGAATGCAAAGTTTGTAAGATTGTTATGCTATAAACTATCTTTGCAATTTAAGGTAAAACAAAACAGTTTTAAAAGGAATGTTGTGAGGACGTTATATAACTACCCAGCAACAGGCCAGGTAGGTTGGTTACCATGGGGACAGGTTGTAACTTGTTATCACACCTGAAAAAAAGGCCACAAAAGCTAGGGCTAATTGGACAGATTTTCTGTCTCTGAGATTACAAACAGAGACAGAGTGAGAGACAGGAGTTGGGGGGGGGGGGGAGAGAGAGACAGACAGACGGACAGGCAGACAGACAGACCAAGGACTATAGCCAGTGTAGTCAGCAGAGAGGAGCGGGTGTCCTTTCTGTGGGCTGCTAGGCAGAATGTGGGAAGGAACATGGACTTTGGTTGAACAGACACATCCTGTGACAATCTAAAGATGCAGGAAGATTTGGGCTGGTATGCTGGGGAAGAAAATGTTGAAGAGAGCCTCTGTTTTCAAAAAATAAATTCAGGTGATGTGGACTTTGCTGTCTGGACTGGCATTTATTACCCATCCCTAACTTATCTTGAGAAGATGGCAGTGAGCTCCCTTTTGCAGTCCATTTGCTGTAGTTAAACCCACAGTACAGTTAAGTTCCAGGATTTTGAGCCAGGGTTCAGAGCTGGCAGTGGGTTCAGTACATCTCTCGAAATTCAGAGAGTCAGACTTTTACAATCATTCATAGTCATGATTCAGTGTAATGAGGAGAAAAAACCATTTGGAGCAGAGGCTTATACTGGACAGATTCCTGGACAAATGGTGTTCTGCAAAGAGAGGGACACAAAGTATAACAGTGGTGTGGGGTGTTTGGTCATATCAATAGTTAGATAGGGAGTATGCGTAGTTTCGTTTTTCCATTGCCAAATTGGCATTGTTCAGTCAGTTTAAATTTTAATAGGGTTTTGCTTCGACTACAAAATATTAAATCTTGTTTTTGAATTCTTTTATATTGGTCACTAGGGATTTAAGAATACCCTAAACAACACAACTAAGAAAAAGGTTATCTGGTCATTAATATATTGGTATTTGTGGGAGCTTGCTGCACACACATTGGATACTCGTTTTCTATGTTACAACATGTCACTTTCTTATATTCAGGAATGAACCATCGACAAAACTCAGCCTAGAAAATCAGAAGAGAAATGCTTCCAATAAACACGCTCAATATCCAACACACAGCTCCAGTCAAACAGTTCAGCACAAAGCA